GGGAGAAGGTTGGACACTACAGCTGGTCCTCAACATACAACCACGACTCCAAAGCTTCCGTTGTTAAGTGAGACAGCTGTTTAGTGTGAATTTGGGCCCCCTTTACAACGTTGTTCATTGAATCGCTGCAGTGGTTAAGTTAGTTACAGCGTTATGAAGCGAATCTAGTTTGCCTGTTGACTTTGCTCGTCCGACGGTCGCAAAAAGGGGATCGCGCAACTCTGCGACGGTCATAAATATGAGACGGAGGCCACACGATCCCAGTTTTTAACCGTCCAAGATGATGCAATGGTTGTTAAGTGTGAGAAAGCAAGGTCCCCAGTCCCTTTTTTCCCCCAGTGCCATTGTGAACTTCGAATGGTCAGTAAACGAACTGTTGTAAGTTAACAGATAACAGATCATCAGAGTTGGAAGGGACCTTGGAGGTCATCTAGTCCAACCCCCAGCCCAAGCGGGAGGCCCTACACCATTTCTGACAAATGGCAGTCCAGTCTCTTCTTGAAAAGCCTCCAGGGATGAATCTTCCACAATTTCTGAATAACAGAATCATAACAGAGTCAGAAGGGACCTTGGAGGTCATCTAGTCCAACCCCCTGCCCAAGGAGAAGACCCTACACCCTTTCTGACAAATGGTGGTCCAGTCTTTTCTTGAAAGTCTCAAGTCAAGACCTCCCAGGCCCGTTCCAGCCGTTAGGCCTCTCCTGGTGGGTGTTGTAAAGCTGAATATTGTTGAATTTTTCAGGCGAGGGAGATCTTGGGGAGGAGAGCTTCAAAAGGGATCTCTGGCCTCCTCAGCCGCTGATCAAAACAGATCTCTGGGATCAATTCTGAAGCAGTTTCAAAAACAACAAACCACAACCCCTTTTTAGCTCTTCGCCGTGTCGGCCTCGGTTGTCCCCATCTGTGAAATGGGCACAAGGACTGCCATTTGTCAGGTCTCCCGCTTGGGCAGGGGGAGGGGGTTGGACTAGATGACCTACAAGATCCCTTCCGACTCTGATTATCTGGTGTGAAATCTGGCTTTCCCCCCAGGCCGAAACAGAGAAAGACAAATATTACAAACCCAGGACAGGGGAAATTAAAGGAATGCTGTTGTCAGGGTGTGTGTTTATGTGTTTGTGTGTGTGTGTGTCACAAAAAAATGGTTAATGTAAAACTCCCAAGGCAGATGGCACGGGGCCAAGGCCGGAGTCACCCATGGAAGAGCCCTCTGGGGTGGGCTGGAAGAGTGTGGGGCTGTGGGGTGGTGGAAATATCTACATTGTTGACTCCTTCCCCTTGCAAAACAGGGCTTTTCTTGGGCCCTTAAGGATTACCTGCCACGCCAGGTGAGCCAAACTCCAAAGTGGGAGGGAGAAAAAAGTGGGTGGAAAAAAAAAATACCGAGTGGGGAAAAAAAGACGGGGAGGAGAGAGGTGGGAGAGGGAGACAAGAGGGGGAGGGAAGGTGGGCTCTTAAGGAGTACCTGCCACGGCCAGGTGAGCCTAACTACAAAGCGGGGAGGACATTTATTTATTTATTTTTTCCCTGCGTGGAAAAAGTCCTGAGTAGGAGAGACAAGAGGGGAAGGAGCAGAATTGCTAGCAAAAAAACAAAAACAAAAACCAAACCCCACGCAAAACTAGAAGCCGAGCGGACAGGAAGGAAGGAAGGAAGGAGGGAAGGAAGGCAGGAAGGAAGGAGGGAAGGAAAGAAGGAAGGAGGGAAGGAAGGAGGGGGGGAAAGAAGGAGGGAAGTGCATGCAGCTGGCTGGAGAAAGTGGGAAAGGACCCTCCCCTTCGGAAGTTTTGGGGGACCTCTCTCTCTGCCCCCCCAACACTCCCGATTCTCTGCCTCCCCCCCCCACCTGCGATCCGCGGGGACAGTTTCCCCCCGTCTGTTTCTGCTCTCTTCTCTCTTTCTTTCCTTCCTTCTTTCCTTCCTTCCTGGACGGGCAGCCAAGGAAGGCGGGCGGCTTCCCCAACGCCTCACCTGGCCGCCAGGTGGGAGGAGGCGGAGGCGAGGTTGGGGCCGGGACAACGGCCCGCCGGGACTTTTTTCCCACCTGCGTGGGACAGGTGAGGTTGCCACGCAGGTGGCCGGAGGGAAAATCCCGCTAGCCAGCAGGTTGCTTACCAAGGGGGTCTCTCTCTCTGTCTCGAGACCCCCGGACCTGCCTCTGCACGTGTATTTAGTGTCCTTTTTGGGTGTCTCTGTTTTTGGGTCCGCGCGTGTCTTTTCGCCCTGCGTGATGCGAGGGTCCATTTGGGATGCGAGGGTCCATTTGGACCCGGGGCGGTGGGAAAATGGGGGCTGCGCGGGTCTGGGAGTTGCAGAAACCCGGCGGAGAGGATGCGGGGGCGCCGTGGAAAGACACCCCCCCCCCCCCCCCACCGCCACGACACGGAGGATCGCGAACGTAGGGAATTAGAAGGCTGGGTCAGAAGGACGATGGGGAGGGGGGGAAGAAATTGCCCCTCGATTGGGTTTAGGGGCGTGGGGCTTCTTCTGGGGGCCCCCCTCCCCACTCAGCCTGGCACTCAAGATACCCTTCCCCCCCCCAAAAAAAAAGCCACATGGCCCCTCCAGCCGCCCCTCCCCAATTCAGACAGCTGGAGCTGCAGGGCAGGGAGAGAGGGGGCTGATAACAACTGGGGGGGGCAAGGGTTTGGGGGTTTGGGAGGGGGCCTTGGTAGCAACAGTGTCCTGCCCACCCTCTGGCAACTGTGCCCTGCCTGCTCACCCTTGTATCTTTTTTTAAAAAAAAAATATTTTATTTATACACTTTTCTTTAGTAAACATCAAAACTCAATTATCTGTATGAACAGTGTGTTGTCTGGGTACAGATAGTTTTGAATAATAATAATAATAATAATAATAATAATAATAATAATAATAATAA